TCTATCCTAAACCCTAAACCCCCCTAAACCCTAAACCCTAAGCCCTAAACCCAAAGCTTCCGGAAGACCCGCATCTCAACCCAAGCCACAAGCCTGAACCCTAAGCCCTCCGAAGCCCGAAACCCAGGATGCCCCAAACCCTAAAAGGTGTAGGGTTTAGGGTTTAGGATTTAGGGTTTAGGGTATAGGGTAGGGTTTAGGGTTAAATTTAACCCCCCTGATGCCCGTAAACCCCTAAACTTTCCCTAAACCTCCCACACCCTAAACCCCCGATGAGGCGCGCGACGTCGAGGCGACCTTTGCCCGCCTCTCGGCGCCGAAGGCGGCGCGCGGGCCAGGGCCCCAGCGCTGCGAGGGTTTTCTTTCGGATCTTCGAGGGTGTTTGGGTTTTAGATGTTTAGGGTTCAGTATAGGGTGTAGGGTTTAGGGTATAGGGAGCCACAACAAAGTAAGAACGGTAGTAACCAGAAGCGTAAGGAGCATCATAACCGTGCCAGTAGTAAGACTACCTACTTTGAGGCGCTTTTCGGCTTTTGTAAGAGTCATACAAAGAGTACTCGGATAATTGAGATTTTGTGGGTTATACAGTAAGAATATTCATGGCAGTCATCATGATAACAGTAATCAAGACAACATCAGTAGTAATGACAGTCATACTAGTAATAGTAGCAATCAAAAACAACAATAACACTGGTATAAAGATAATGGTAGTTAACAGTATTAGTAGTAATAACACAGAAAGTCACAATATAGGTGTAATAACAGCTACTAACAACTTGAATAACAATCCCCATAATCATCAGACAATTTCTCAGGAGGGGGGCGCGGCCTTGGGCAATAATTAGCAACATCAATGTCCTCCCTCGGAGCACTACGGCCCGCGTCCATTCCCATAATAAGCCAGAATACTCCGTAGTGGTTATGAAGATAAGTGTGGCCTGTCTACCCAAAACAAATTTCCATGTGCAGGGGTTCCGAAGACAAGGGTAGTATACTCTAACCCGAAACCCCTCTTCAATCATTTCGGCTCCTGTACTTGCGTCCTGCAAGGGCTTTGAAACGAGTCTTAAGCACTCTCCGATCGTCTGTTCTAGGTATAACTCTCTCAGGGACTTCCTGCACTAACCGCTAAAGATCCCCAAGCACAAAAACACAAAAGCTCCAAATCCTAAGTAGCCCCATCAGGTCATAGATCCCCGAACTTTAGATCCTGACTTCAGGGTCCAAGATCTCGAATTTTAAGGTGATTGTAGGGATGCTAAGGATCATAACAGGTGTCCTCACAATTACTTGGAGGTTCATGGTTATAAGTGGGGTAACCATAATTATGACCCATGTTAGGGGACTGATATCCCCACTTTTCACTACCCTTGGAGCCTCCTAGTAAGGCTCTTCGAGGAAAGGTGTCCCCAAAGCCCACAGCCCCACCAAGCCGTGATTAGGGTTGAGGGGTTTAGGGGTTTGGCGTTTAGGGGTTTAGGCTCAAAGCCCCGAGCCCCACGCCACCGAAACGAAGCCCCGCGAAGCGCAAGGTATGACCCCACGCCGGGCGAAAAGGTTTGCCTAATGCACTCTGGCCGCCTTTACTTGGAGATTCATGGGTTTAGGGTTTAGGTTAAGGGTTTAGGAGTTTAGGGTTTAGGGCCTACTTGGAGGTTCTTGGGTAGTTATAAGTGAGGTTGTAAGTCCCGTAACATGGGTTATACTTTTTGTTACCCTACTTATCTCCCTACATATAACTACCCATGAACTTCCAAGCAGAACTTCGGGTTGGTTGGTTCGATCTTTCAGATTCAGTTTAGGGTTTAGGGTTTAGGGTTTAGGGTTTAGGGTTTAGGGTTTAGGGTTTAGGGTTTAGGGTTTAGGGTTTAGGGTTTAGGGTTTAGGGTTTAGGCCCTGAACCCTAAACCCTAAGACTTTAGACCCCAAGGACCCTTTTGCAGGAGGAAAGCGGCCGACGAACCAAAGAGCCCTAGACCCTAAACACGAAATCCTGAATCCTTTTGTTTAGGGTTTAAGTTACCAGAATGGGGATCTATAAGGGTTCCTTCAAGGGATCTATAAGGGTATCTCTAGGGTTTCCATAAGGCTACTAAATGGGTAGTTCTTTGAATTAGGGTCCCTTTTGTACCCAAGAAGTACGGCACCCTAATCATAACAAAAACCCTAAAAGGGATCCGAATTTAGACTCAGAGAATTCCCCTCATGAACCTTAAAGCCTAGACCCTACACAGGTGTGCACATTCGCAGAGCGAATGTACAACTTTTCGAAGCTGTTTTGTTTACGCATGCAAGCTAAGTCCAGTCAGGCCGCAAGGTGCTGCAACCCTGACTAGGGTTTAGGGTTTAGGGGTTCGGGTTTAGGGGTTTAGGGTTTAGGGTTTAGGGTATAGGGATAATACTTAATTGACCTTATCGTATAACCCAGAGCCTTAAATTTAGATAGTTGCGGGGACTGTAGAAATTGACACCTACTCATAGGGTCATACCCTGCCCCTCTTTTGGGGTACCTGCTGTTTCTACATACCAGACCGTACCCATAAAACTGGATGCGCTAAAAAACGGGGAAGGGTATGACCCTTGAGGTAGTTGAGCCCGAAACTTAGGCCGTAAACCCTAAACCCTAAACCCTAAACCCCTAAACCCTCAACCCTCAACCCTAAACCTTAAACCCTAAACCCTAAAACTCCCAAAAACCCTAAACCCTAAACCCTCAACCCCCAAAAAGCAGCCGAGGTACAACCAGCACGCGGGGAGGCGCCCTGTAGAGTCGGGCTCTTTATAGTTTTTCGGCGTTTTTTTTGCGGGTCTAGGGTTTAGGGTTTAGGGTTTAGAGTTTAGAGTTTAGGGTTTATGGTTTAGGGTTTAGGGGTTAGGGTTTTTGTTGCCGGCTTTCCGGGTTTCCATGGGTAGTTCTCTAGAATAGGGCCCTTTTTAGGGTCCTTTTTATAAGGGTGCCGTGCTTTCTGTTGGGGATCCAATAGAGAAATACCCACATCAACCGACCAGAACCTCCTTTTTTGGGGAGGGTCCCTCTAGATCCCATGTTAGGGTTGATACTAAGAGACCTACAGAAAAGTGGGCGTTGGGTAGGTTAAGGTAGGGCTTCGGAGACCCTCGAGTCTTTCAGTGCTTGTTTTGAGCTTGTTTTTTTTTTTTCTGCCTTTTGTCCCAAGTCTTTTAATTGAGGACTTCAGGGCGCTTCGGGAAAGGAGAAAGGTTTTTTTTCCAGAGACGGCCCACGCCCCAAACCCCAACACCTAAACGCCAAACCCCAGACCCTACACCCCTAAACTCTAGACCCTAAACCCTATAGCCCTTTAAAAAAAGACCCTACGCCCCAAACCCGAATTTGGGCTCAAGGCTACGATTGAACCGTGAGGCAGCTTTCCCGGACCTCTGCTTGCGATCGGAAGTTGCGGAATCTGCTGGTAGGTAGCCACGGGCATTTCTTAATTCTAAGCGCTGATAATGCTAATAAACGGGTCGGACAACTTATATAAGTAGTATGCCCGCATGGTCTTTTTCGGAGTAGAGTAGAATATACACCAAAACACCTTCTTGTAGTTATGAAGGCCCCTATACACCCCGAGTTCTACCCAACCCCTGAAGCCTCGTAAACCCAAAAACACCAAACCCCAGACCTTAAACTAAATCCTAAAGCCGAGACACCACCCCCAACCCCCAAACCCCAAACCCCAAACCCTAAACCCTAAACCCTAAACCCTAAACCCTAAACCCTAAACCCCAACTC